TCCAGCAGAAAGATAGGCTCAGACAGCGGCTAATCTACCCCCAATGCTGGGTCTGGCTCATGGCGTGATTTGAAACACTGTCAAACTCTGACCAGTTCAACCAGCTAAAACCAGGGCAAACCCTTGGGCACGTGGAATCCCCCAGAACAGTGGCTTGTCTTGCGTTAGCCACGATCGGGACATTTACAGGCACAAGCTAATCTATGGAAGGAGAGCCGGCCCCTCAGATGTTCACCCCCCCACACACAAACACACAAAAGAGGGGTTCTATATATTTGCTTGCCGGTCTTTGGAGCCGCTTTTCCAGCCCTTGCCACTGGAGGGAGAAGCTGGAAAAGGGGCTCCAAAGACCAGCAAGCAAATATATAGAACCCCTCTTTTTTATTGGGGGGGTGAACATTGAGGGAGCTAGCTCTTTCCGTGGGTTAGTTTGTGCCTGTGATGCGCACTGCTTTGCCTTATCACAGCGCAGGAATCCCATGCCTCCAGCAGCTGGGGATTGCAGGAAAACGCCAACTGCCCTGTGAATCTGGCAACTTTTCAGTGGATGAAATCCTGATAGATTATGTCCAAAGAGGCAGGGAAACAAAATTCCCATTTTCTATCTTGACGGGGGGAGTCCACTTAGGATGAAAAAACGAATTGGGCCGGCCCTGGTGCTTGCTCAGGAGACATCACTGATGGTAGGACAGATAGAGCCGGTCCCCTTTGGGGCACATCGGTGGCTGGGAGGGATCCCAGGGTGGGAAACTGGGGAGTCTCCAGCAGAAAAAGAGGAGACTTTGGTGCTCCGGGACCAGAGCCCAGCGCTGGGGGAGTAGGGTGAGGCCAGGGCATGTTCTTTCCCTTTTCTGTGCCTCAGTTTCCCCCACCCAATGCCCAGGGCTCTGTGGGGGTAAGAGGGTGAATTTGCTCTCACGCCAGCTGGAGGAAAGCTCGGCCAGTCAGCACCCAACTCACTGCATGATGGGAAGGAAGCTGTTTCCTTGTTAGGCCCTGAACGTGGCCTTTCCTAAGGCCGAGCTCGGTGCCTCCCGGACTCGGGCTCCAGCAGCCCCTGTGTCTCCCCAGCTGCCCTCGGCAGCGAGTCTGACTGAGATCAAACTCCTCTCAGAGGCTTGTGCCCCTGCCGGGCGTGGCACTGCCAGTGATTAACCCCTCGCACACGGCATCTGCCAGGCTGTAGGCAGCAGAGAACAGCCCAGTGTCACCAACAGCCCCAGCGCTAGGGTAGGCTGGGCACAAGCCAACAGCACGTGCTGTGATACGGCCAAAGAGCGTCGGCCATGCTCCCAGCCCGGCGGAGGGGTGGGGGGGTGGGTGTCTCTCCAGGAACGCAGAGACGCTGACAGAGTGCAGGGGGCCATGAGGGATAATCAGCTGGAAGTGAGCCCCCGTGCGACAGTGTGGCCAAAGGCGCTAAGGATGCCCAAACAGGGGAATTGCGTGTAGAAGCAGAGGTCAGTTTACCTCTGGATTTGGCACTGGTGCGACCGCTGCTGGGGTCCTGTGTCCAGTTCCAGTGCAGTTCAAGAAGGATGTGAATATATTGGAGAGGGGGCAGAGGGGGGCCACGCGAATGGTTAAAGGATTACAAAACGTGGCCTGGAGTGATAGACCTCAGGAGCTCAAGCTATTTAGCTTTGCAAAGAGAAGCTCCCACCTCCCGGGGTGACTTGACTCCAGTCTAGAAGCACCTACACGGGGATCAAATATTTAATAATGGGCTCTTCAGGCTAGCAGAGAAAGCTCTAACGTGACCACATGGTTGGAAGTTGAAGCTGGACACATTCAGCCTGGAAAAAAGATATCCGTGTTTACCAGGGAGGGGAATTAACCATGGGAACAATGAACCAAGGAGTGCGGTGGATTCTCCATCGAGGTGAGATGTGTTTCTAAGAGATCTGCTCTCGTTCAAACAGGAATTAACTGGGTGCAATTCTCTGGCCTGCGTTATCCAGGAGCTCAGCCTTGGTCCCTCCTGGCCTGGGAATCTACCAATCTCCGCCATGACTTCTTGAAATCCGTCTTCTCGCTCTGGTGCTGCCCGGTGGACAGGGACACAAAGATCCTATGATCATATGTGGTCTCAAAAAGTTATCACGATACAGACAGACAAAGAGAAATGCCATTGAGTTGTGTGTTAAGCCTTTTACTTCACTTGGCCAATTAACTTCTATAATTGGTAATTTTATCTTCATTAATAGCTGCCAATTATTGGTTACTTGTTAGTCACTATTGGCTGCCAGCTGTTGGTTATTTAGTACCCACCATTAGCTGTCAGATTATTTCATAGTGACAGTGTGGAGAAATGGAAAATAAAAGTTTTCCATTCAGAATCTTTTCATGCAAATTTCCATTTTCAAAGAACAGCCAAATTTTAGTATCTCTTGGGTGTCTGTCTTCACATTTTTAGGGAGCTATCATTGTTTCTCAGGTTTCAATCTTCAGTTTTCCGTCTTTGGTTTTCAGTTCTTGTTTATCGTGTTTTGGTCCAGGCTTGTCAGTTTTGTGGCTCTAATGATCACTTTACATATCTACCATATCAGATTTTGTTCTTCATTTCAGGGCTGTTCGTTATTGGTTTTCTGCTCTTATGTATTAATTACAAGATTTCACTGTATGTTTTTTCAGCTTCATTTATTATGGTCTCTCTACTGATTATCAGCTTTTCGTTTTCTTTATAAATTTAGGGTGTTTAAATATTTTTTTTCAGTTCTGCTATTCACTTATTGCTCCTTTTCACTATTGGTTTTCTGCCTTTGACTATTCATTGTCTAATTTTGACTAGGTTTTGTGACCTTGATCTGGTTTTCATACTTCAATTACTGGTTTTCTGTTTGGGCTATTGGTTTTCTGATTTCAATTAGTACTTTTCTGGCGTTGATTACTGAGGGCTTCTGCATTCAGTAATTGGTATTCTGATATTGATTCCTGGTTTTCTGTCTTTGACTTTTGGTTTTCTTGGCTTCTAGATCTGGTTTTCTGACTTCTATTTCTGGTTTAGACTCTTTGACTATTGGTTTTCTTGACTTCAAATGCTATTTTTTATTATTGTTGATTTTCAGACTCTGTTTCCCAATAGCTTACTTTGATTACTGGTTTTCTAGCTTTGATGACTATGATTAGTGGTTTCCTGTTTTTGACCATTGGTTTTCAGATATTAATGATTAGTTCATTGATTGATTTCTTTCACTGCTTTTCTGGTTTCAGTAACTTGTTTTCTGATTTCAATGACTACTTTTCTGCCTTTGATTATTTCTTTTCTGACTCTAGTTATTGGTTTGCTGAGTTCCATGACTAGCTTTCTGTGTCTTCAATGACTGCTTTTCTACAATCATCAATTGGCTTTTCTGAGTTTAGTTATTGTTTTTATAATAACTAGTGATTAGAATAACTAATAATGTGTGATTACTAGTGTTGAGTTATCAGCATTTGAAACTATGTTTTTCTCTCATTTCATCAATTTTCTCTCTTCAATTATTAGTTTTCACTTAACGTTGTTTGGGTTTTATTTAGTTTCAATGACCTTTATGTCACGGGTTTATTTTGCACCACCTATCTTGATGGATCACCTTGAGTCACCTGTGGGGGGATCTTTTGTTCAAGATGGAAAAAAAATTCCTTGTCTCTCTCTCGCTGCATCGCAGATGTTCGTTCATGTTGCGAAGGAGGTCGGAGAGACCTGCAGTCTGCCCCCAATCCAGGTGAGTCCTCGTTTCCCATCAACCCAATGCTGGTTCCACCCCCCACTCCATCACCCCCACCTGATTCTTATTATTCAATGTCTCTATTGCAAGAGCACCTCAGACCCCCCCCCCCCTTCCTAGACCAGAACCCCATTGTGCCAGGCGCTGGTCAAACCCCGAACAAACCGCCAGTCCCTGCTCCCATTATTCTCCCTCCACGCTCACATCATGCCCAGGATCTCGGTGTCGGTGGCTGGGTTCGGCAGCAGCCTCCAGCTCTGGTCTCCTCTCTGTGCTCCCAGCCCCAGTGTGACCCTTCTCCTGCGCTCTCTGTTGCAGGGTCTGGACCTGTTGGTGCGAGATTGGCAGCTCTCCGAAGCCTACGACGCAGAAGCGGGACAGGAGTATCTCAAAGACATCACACAGGTAATGACCAAAGCCGGGCACCACGTGTGTTCATGGAAACAACAAACTCCGGCTGTGGGGCGGAGCTGAACGTTTCCATGGTGGGTCTGATTTCTCGCTGATGGTCACAAATGTCGGTTTAACTCCCGCAGGACCTGGCAGCCTCTTCTGAGCAGCCCCTGGTGTTGGGAGCCCTGAGGGCAAGAGGGACCTGGTGCTACCTACTGCCCCACCCTGGCACTGGGTTCACCAAGAGCAGGGCAGGGACGCCAGGTGGTAAGAGACCCCTCTTCCCCCTGGGTTACACCCCCAGCCTCCCTCTCCCCTCTTCTGCACTGCCCCTACCCACATCCCTGCCCCCATCTTCCCCTTCTGCCCTGCCCCCACCCCATAATCCCAGTGCCCAGCTCACTCTCCTTGGCTTAGAATGGGCTCCCCTGACCAATGCACAGGGGCTGTCACTAGGTCACGGGATCTGTGCGGGAAGGGAGGGGGACATGAGGGGACACTGCTGGGGTCCTGGTCTCCTGTGGGGGACACAGCTGGTTCCCTCCTCTTAATAGGTCCCCTGTCACCCACCCCACACACACTGCAGCCTCTCCCTGTTACTCACCCCCCACCCCCACTGCTCCCCCATTTTCCCCCTGGCAGTGGGGTGTGGAAGGGAGCTAAGCAGCTGTTGCCCAGAGATGGAATCTCATTTACTGTGGCACAAACCTGCCCTCTACATCCCCCATTTAACTTGTGTCCTGTCCTGGGCACCTGGATCCCTCCCGGATGCCTGGGTCCTTTCCCCCCTGCAGACATGGACGAGGATTTCCGGCAGTCCCTGTGTGACTATGTCACCAGCGTGGTGCGCTCAGCAGGGACACACGTCCGGACGGACCGAGCCGGGCAGGTGCTGACGGGGCTCAGCTGGCTGCCAGGATCAAGGTGGGAGAGTGGGGTCTGCTGAAAGGGGGGGCCTGGATGGGAGACAGCAAAAGGGGCCGCAACGAGGTGAGCGGAGACTCAGAAATGGGTGCCGTGCTGCAGGGTGTGGGCTCAGCAGGGGGTGCCATGCAGGACGGGGTGGTCAGGGGGACCAGTGGGGGCGCTGTGCTGCAGGGAGTGGGGAGGGGGACACAGTAGGGGGCGCTGTGCTGGAGGGAGCAGGGTGGGGGGCTCGCCAAGGAGTGGGCTGAGCTGTCCCTGATCTCAGTTCCCCCGGGCATTATTCCCCACAGGACGTCTCCCGATACTTGAAGACCCAACGCTACGACTTCTCCTCCCCCGTGAAGGTACCAGGTTGCCCCTCCCTCAACCCCTCTGATTTGCAGGGGAGGGGGGCACTAGTTCTATTGACCCCTCACCCCAGGTCCTCCTCCCATTGGCCAATCGCACTAGGCCAGGAGGGGGGGCACCACAACAGCTGCCCCAACTGTCCTGATGGGGAACCTCCAGCTCCCAAGAAGTAAAGGGACCCCCAGGGAGCTGCACCAGAGAACTGGCCCTCTCTACTAGGGTGGCAGCAACGTGGCCATAGCTGTGGAGTCATTGGGGGGCTGCCTCCTGGCTCTGAGGGAATGTGGGGGGTTGGGGGCCAGTGGGGAGGTGAAAGCGGGGAGCAGGGTCCTGGAAGAATGGGGGGAGAAGGTGGTGAGGGGGGCTCCTAGTTCAGAGATGGTCCCATCCCAACCCCCACCCTGTCCCCTCGCCCCCCACAGATGGCTGAAGCATTTGCAGCGATGAGAAAGGAGAAAAACAGCAAAGCAGTAGAAGCCGCCAGGAGAGAATATGAACAATTTGTGCAGGAGCTGGTGAGCGCAGAGGGGCTGGGAGTCGGGAGTGAGGGGCACCGGCAGAGCTCGGGGGAGCAGGGCTGGGATAGCAGGGGGCTGTGGGTTGGAGGGGCTGCGGGTGTATGAGTCAGCGGCACCCCCTGTGGCTGGGTAACACTAATACCCATCCCTAATGGCCCATCTCTCCCCGCTTCGGGCAGGACCGTGGCCACCAGAATATAAACTGCTGCCTGAGGGTGAAGCCTGAGGAGATGAAGAGACGGCTGGAGGGGAAACGCAGGAAGCTGCTGAAGCATTGCCAGGGGCAGCTGTGGGGCGAGGACCCCCAGAAACAGGCTGCCCTGAAGGTGCTGGAGCAGGGGCTGGCCGGGAAGACGTCCAAGTTCCTAACGGCCTACGGACAGCGCTTTAAAGAGAAGGCCGTGCGGTTGGGCCTGTACATTGGAGGGAGTGTCCTGGCTTTGGTGGGTGCGGGTGTTGTGGCGGGCATCAGCCCAAGTTTGGTGGTCAAGGTCGGAGCGGGGGGCCTTGTCCTGATCAGGAGGATGGTGGGAAGATGGGTGTGGGGCTAATTTGGTTTTAGAATACAACAGGCACCAATGCCCCAGGGCAGAGGGATGAGGGGCAGGGTCTTCAGATCAGGAGCCCCTGCTGCGGGGTGACAGATAGTGGGGAAGAACCATCACACCCCACCCCGTGCAAGACTCTGTCCCAGCCCTCAGCACTGGGAACCTCTGTATGCAAAGGATGGGGATAGATAGATAGATAGAGGGGGTCGATGGGGATAGATAGATAGATTAGATAGATGGGGTGGATTGGGATAGATAGATAGATAGAGGGGGGTAGATGGGGATAGATAGATAGATAGATAGATAGATAGATAGATAACCCTTCTGCCCTTCAGCATTAGCAGGAACAAGGGCTGGGTTCAGGATCTAGGGGTTCCGTTTCAATAACACAATGCAAAACCGGCTTCAGTCCCCACCCAGTGACCTGGGACAATTACATACCACCCCCCGGGCAATACTAACCCTCTCGCAAGCACAGAGTCTGAGTGTAGCAAAAGCCTTTTAATAAAGGAGGGAAATAATGTGGCATTGTGTGGGGAAACACCACAGACAGGATTCATAACACAAACCATGAGCAAAAGACCTACCCCCAAGTAAGTTTGGAAGTGTCCTTTTCCCCTCAGGGTCTTAAGTCCAGCAACCCAACAGTCACCCGTCCCGCAGTTTCTGTCCTTGGTCAGTCCAGTTCCAGAGTTCAGAAGTTCATCTGCAGTGTTTACCTCCCAGCCTGAGTGGAAGGGGGTGGAGGTATGGGAGCACGTTACATGCTCCACTACTCAGGTCCACGGCTGATTGCCACGCCTCTCCATGGGGTTCTGCTGCAGTGTTCACCGCCAGCCACTCCTCTCCGCCAACTGTCCTGCTAGCCGCTCCTCTCCACCAGCCACTCGCCAACATGTCTTCAGACTCCCCCTCCACCTAACACAGCTCTCTGTGATTTCAGCTGTTAGTAGGGGAGCCTCAGTGCTGGCACACTCAGAACCACTAGCTCAAAGTAGGACCAACCCTTAGACCTAGGAATCAGTAATCTCAGCTCTACAGTACATAACAAGACTCCTAACAGAATCAAAATTAATTCTGCTATTATACCATAGAGAGAGAGATCAAAATTCTGTTTCATGCCCTAGAAGAGACCCACAGACACACATCTATCCCCAGACTCTCTCAATTCACAGGGCTTTGGAACCCATGTCCCTTGCTTAGCGAGTACTACTTGGTTAAGGGCGAGTTCCTCCGTCATAAAATGTCAAGTACAGTTCTACTGTCCTTGATTCACATAACCAGGATAACAACACTTTAGTACTCCTGCCCCAATAGCAAAGAGACTGGGGGTCCCACAGTAGCCAAAGTGACCATTTGGGCAAGCAGGGTGGGTGTGCCCATGCAAACTAGATCAGCCCCTGAAGTTCTTTTCCACAACTCACTACCAGATGTCAGGGTAGAGCTCATTCTGACTGCTTATAGATAGACAGATAGATAGATAGATGGGGTGGATGGGGACAGATAGCTAGATTTATGGGAATAGATAGAAAGAACTTACAGCAGGTAGGTAGATTGCAAAAGGACACCAAGATTGATTGATTTGCAGTGGAGTCACCGAGATCAGAATCCAGCCCTGACCCCATTGATGTCAGTTGATAAATAACCCCGCCCTGGCTCCTGTGCTCTGAGCCGGCCCCTGCATCCCTCCGCTGCAAGTTTCATTTGGTTTTCATTTTCAAAAACGGGGGCGGGGGGGGGAATTGATTCTTATATTTTGCAATTGGGTTTTTTTCACATTTTCTTCCCACCTGAACAAGTGTGTGAAGTGGACAATTTTGGTCCCCCCCCCCGCCCCCATTTCCCACTGATTTGAAAAATGATACAAACGGAGGAGGGACGTTAGAAAACCCCAAATCCCCTTCCAACATTTTCCAGTTTATTCTTGGGGCTCCAGCGGGTGGAGGGCAGGGCCTCGAGCAGAAGGAGTGGGAGGAAGCAGGCTAGCCTCCCCAAAGGGGGGGAGGGGGTTCACTAGTCATCCATTTGACTGTGAGTCCTATGCTTAGATTTTACCAATCAAGTGCCAAGTATAAGCTCCTCAGCCACTGTAACAGCCTTAACATGGAGTCCCAGACAGTCCCCTCGGGTACTCCGATCTAACTGGTCATTGGGACATTATTGACAGAGTCTGTAACCATATAGATCACTGTTGCAACCACTGTCATATATTTGCAGCAAATATTGTACAAAGGTTGTCATGTGAGCTCTCTGGGAAGGTTATGATTGGCTGGTTATAATTATGCTATCTGTATGTGTGTATCATTTTTGTACTTGAAGTTATGAATGTTGGCTCTGTACTGTTTGTATTTCAAACCAATCCTGTAATAAACTATCTCAAATTATCTATTTATCTCTTATTAAATAAGAGTTAACTACACAGTTAAAGCAGGTAAATATAGACACATACAAATGAGTTACAGTCTTAAGTTTCAGGAAGATGTGGCCAGGAAGGGAGGGGCCTGGTTCGGACTGAAGGCGGCTCAGAATGTGACAGGAAACAACGCCCCACGGTAGGGGGAAGAGGGGGAGGGTGGGGCAGGGCGTTTAGATCCGGCGCCCCTGCTGCAGGGTGCATGTAGTGGGAAAGAACCATCACCCCCCATCCCGGGCAAGAGTCCGTTCCAGCCCAGAGCATTGGGAAGCTCTGTATGCAAGGAAATAGATAGATAGAACGTACAACATGTAGCTAGTTTTCAGGAGGACATAGAAATTGGTTTACAGTGGGATCACTGAGATCAGAATCCAACCCTGACCCCATCAACATCAGTCAATAAATAACCTGGCTCTGGTTCCTATGCTCCAAGCCGGCCCCTCCAGCCTTCAGTTGCAATTTCCACTGGTTTTCCTTTTCAAAAGCAGGTGGAAAAAATAGATTTTCCTATTTTGGGTGTTTCTTACATGAGCTTTCGCAGGAAGTGCCTAGGCAAGTCTCCCCAGGCATAAGGAGTCGAGTCCTTCACGCTGTCTGGACTGATTTCCAGGAAATCCCTCAGCCTGAGTTTCGTGTTTCTGAAGTTCATGATTCTCAGCTAGGACAGGACGGTCTTCACGGCTCTTCTCCCTGCAGATGGACACGAAGGCGTCGCCACCCAGGATGACGTCACAGCTCAGCGCCAGCTGCACCTTGGCCTCCTCTATGTCTCCGTTCCCAAGATTTAGGCCTCAAGCCTTCACACCCCTGAGGAGGAATTTCCCCATGCGCCCAGTCACAGACCAGGGAAATAGCTATAGTCCCCAGCGGTGATTCCTCCTGCAGCTGGGACTGGGCCTGGCCCTGCCATGCTCACCTCCGGGAGCTGAGGCCAGCGTGTGAATACAGGAACAGACACCAGCCTTTTCCAAACGCCAGCTCGTTTAATGTCAACAGAGGGGCCCAAAGCCTAAGAAGCAAAGGGATCTAACCCACCCAACTGTTCACACGCCTCTGTCTCAGCTAACACTTAGGGAGGCTTCCCTTACCCAGACCCCACTCCTGGGGCTGGGTGTCCCACACCGAGGTGTAGGTGGTGCAACCTCGTGGTCAAAGCAAGAGTCTGGCCTAGTGGTCAAAGCAGAGCTGGACGGCAGAAGCGGAGGTGCGGTCGGGAGGCCAGCCAAGGGTAAGAGCCAGGGGTTCAAGGCAGGCAGGGCATAGGGCTGGAGTGGAGCAGCCAAGGGGTGGAGCCGGGGCTGGACAGGAAGCAGGTCTGACACAGCTAATACATGAAGTGTTTGTAAAACAGTCCTGGCACCTTCCACATCCTTCACAGATGGAAAATACACAGGGGATGGGCAGGAGCTCGGGTGCAGCAGGTGTATGGAGATGGAGACGCTGGATGGAAGAACCAGGGGAATGTGGAGGGCCCTGA